GTGAGGACCCCAGCAAAGGTGTCAGGAGCCCTGGGCTGGTGTGAGGAGCTCCAGGTTGGTGTGAGGGGCCCTAGCAAAGATGTGAGAGGTCCTGGGCTGGTGTCAAGGGCCCCAGGCTAATGTGAAGGGCTCCAGGCTGGAGTGAAGACCCCAGCAAAGGTGTGAGGGATCTGGTTCCTGGTGAACCCGGGTTTAAATCCTGGTCCTTCTGTGACCTCAGGAAAATTCCTTCCCTCTGGGCTCCCACTTTCCTCCGCTATAAAATAAAGGAACTTGGTGGGCTAGACCAGACAACCTTGGAAGTTTTATAGCTCTCTCTTCTGAGTCAGGCCCTTCGTGGCTTCTGCCAACCCAGTGAGAGACAGAATGGAATTGGGGGGCAGCCTGAGGGGAGAGGAGAGACAGCTAATAGCAGGAGTGGCGGGGACCCTGCAGGAGTGGGCTGGGTGGTTGGCACTTAGCAAGGCAGTGAATCTGGCAGAAGGGCTACCTTTTGGCTAGCCAACTGGCTAGGGGCAGCACCAGCCCATAGACTTTGGCTTCTTTCCAAGGAAGTGGTATCTTGGGGTGGCTGAGGAGGGCTGACACATGCTAGAAACCCACCAGGGTGATAGGGTGGGAGCCATACGGCTGTCTATGGAACCAGGCTGGGCAGTCGTTGCATTTTTAATGCACCTTCATAAGGCATTTGCCAGAACGGGATCCCGCAGCAGAAACCTCAATGCAAGGCAGGTCTGAGGCCCCCAGTTGCTCTTGGCTTTGCAGCCTGAACAGATGGAAGAGGATCACCCCTGCTGGCTGGAGGAAGGGATTGGAAGCACCTCAAGTGCTTATTTGGAGGCTTTGGGGAGCGTGGGATATACCCTGTGCCTACAGACCCTGCAGCCTGACAGATGGAGGGAAGCCTGGATGCCAGGCTGAGGAGGGAAGGGGGAGCTCAGACTACTTTCCGGAATCCCCCTCCCCTTGCCTTTGGGGAGCCCCAGTATTCATTGTGATCCCCTCAGGGGCCCATCACGCTTTGATCTTCAGGGTTGCTAGGGATATACCTTCAGGAGGCCAGTAACTGGCCCAGACCCCAGACCATCCGAGGGACACACCTGCCCACCAGCTTTGCAGACTCTCATTTCAGGCTTCTCTCTGTCTTACTACAGGCAGGAGTCTCAACCATCACCACGATGTCTGTAGCACCTGGGGAAACAACCATTACAAGACCTTTGATGGGGATGTCTACCAGTTCCCTGGACTCTGTGATTACAACTTTGCTTCGGACTGCCGTGACGCATACAAGGAGTTTGCTGTCCACATCCAGCGTGGCCTGAACAAGGATCACCACCCCCAGATCACCTACATCCTGGTCACAATCAAGGATGTTACCATCTACCTCACCCACCAGCTCGTGGTTGTGAATGGGGCCATGTGAGTCATGGGAAGGAGAGGGTTGAAAAGGGAGTGGAGGCCGCCATCTTGGCATGCTCAGTTCCTGTTGCCCCACCCAATATCCTAGCAAAAAGGTGTCTGCCAGCCACGCATATCACTGAGACAGCACCAGCACCTGGTGCCCGTGGGCAGGAAGACTTGGTGTTAGACCTGGGGCCTGGACACAGGCTTGGGCTCCTGGTTAGGAGACACTGGGGATTTACCAAAAGTCGGCTTCAGAGATAAGCGGGTCCTAGGCTCTTCAGACGGCAGAGCTAGAAAGGCCTTTAGTTGACAGAGCAGCAAATGGAATCTCCAAAAGGAATGGGGAGGAGACTTGACCAAGGTCACACAGCATCAATGGGTAGCTGATTCAGGGCTCTGTGTGTGTCTGTCGGACTGTTCCCATCAATTATATTTCCCACTGCCAACTCTGAGGTGAGGGCTCAGCTCCAACAAAGTGAGATCCAGTGCGCTCTATGCTTCCTCTGGAAATCACTGCTGTTCCACAGCCTGGGGCAGGGTTGGAGGCTCAGGAGTAGATGAGGAAGAGGGGCAGGGGTGAAGCCCAATCCCAGGACTCCATTCCCGCTCTGTGCCCCGTACTGGCCTCAGACGCGGCTGTGTGTAAAGGACAAAGCGCTGGGTGTAATGCACACCAAGAGGTAAAGTTACCAAGCAAGTGTCCTGTTTAAAGGGACAAAGGAACCGAGGACACTCCTCCTTCTCCTGGGCTTGGGATTGTTCCTGAAACAAAGACTTGAACGTGGACCTGTTGGGCTGGTTGGCTGGAGAAGGAGGAGTGTCTCTTTCCTAAGATTTCATTGCCTTGCTCTCTTCACATCGCAACCCTCGGCACCTGTGCTGGGGTCACGGGATGAGGCTGGGCTCCCTGTCCAGATGGAGGCTGTTCAGGGTGCCCATCGTCATGCCCTGGAAGCTGTCGACCCCAGCTCGCCGTGCCCCCTTTAAATCCTCAGCCCTGGGACATTGCTCCTGAGCTGGTGGACGACTCTGTGAGGTGTGTGTTGGGAAGGGTCAACTGGCTCCCTTGGGTCACCATCATCTTCCTCCTCTGTGAAATCAGGATAATCGCATGTGCGCCATCTGTCTCCAGGACTGTGCTGAGGAATGTGTTGTCAGCTTGCAACACTGTAGCAGTATCAGCGAGGGCTAGTCTTATGATTGACTTGTGCTTGTGGAAGATTAGCCTTAGCAGCAGCCATTCCCCGCCCCCCCCCACCCCCCTGCCCCCAGACCTGCAGTTCAGGCAACTGCCACTGGGGGGAGGGTTGGGTTTGACTGTAGTTTCATAGACCAACCAAGGAGACTTTCCCTAGGCATGGAGAGCTGAGGGAAAATGGGAAAAGATGGATTTCCTAGGAATGTCTCACACCTATAGAGCAATTTTCAGTGTCAAAACACCTTTCACACAGAATTTCCTCCCTTGCTCTCCAGAGTAGCTCTTTGGCTGCCTTCCCTTGGGTGTCGTAGGCAGAGCAGGGATTATAAACTGTCCCCTTTAGATGAGAAAGCTACAGACCCAGCTCCAGAGCGCCCAGACGCTGTGTGCGGGGCTCACACACCAGGGCCTGCCTGGGTTCTCTAGAATAAGTGCTCTCCGCTAGGGCTGGTTCACATTCTAAATGTTCACTCCTAGCAAAGAAGTCCATGCATTCTGATGGAGCAGTTGGGTTCCAGCCAATGGGGGCGGGGTGGCCAGGATGGGAAAAAGAAAGGACTCCCCTTCACTCCCTGCCCTGCTCCATCTGCCTGTATGCACGAGCTCCGGTTATCCAGCAAGGGATGGGGCACAACAGCTGAAAGCTTGTGCCCAGTCTGAGGCCGCAGAGGGTGGAGATCAGCAGGGAGGCCACAGCACAGCAGCAGGGAGCCCGCGAGGACCCGGGCACCACAGACACTGTCTCTCCAGCGCTATCATTTCACAGAGGAGGAAACCGAGCTCCAAACAGAGGAAGGGTCTTGCCCAAGTTCACGTAGATACCCGAAGGAACCAATGTCCAAGAATAAGTCTCCAGAAAGAAATCTATGGCCAGGACAAGAAGGAGCAGTGGAAGCCTGGCGCCACTCTCCTTTGTTTTCCAAAGACCTTGGGGTATCCTGGTTGAATTTCCCTAAGTCCTGGGCTTAGTGCAGGGGAGGGAGAGAAGGAAGGAGACACACACACACACACACACACACACACACACACACAGAAAAAGAGAGAGAGAGAGAGAGAGAGAGAGAGAGACAGAAAGAGAGACAGAGACACACACAGCAGGAGAGAGACAGAGACAGAGAGACAGACACACACAGTGGGGGAGGGAGAGAGAGAGACAGAGACAGAGAGAGAGAGAGAAAGAGAAGAGAGGGAGAGAGGAACGTCAGGCTCAAGGGTTGGGATGGGGAGCAGGCTGAAGGCTGGGAGCAGACAGATGCTTTCCAGAGTGCCCCCCCCCCCCGCCCCAAGGGGCTGGTGTGCTTGTGTGTGACATCAGTGGTGGGGAGGGGCAGCAGACCTACTAGGGAAAATGGAGAAGCCCTCTTATCGGAGCAATGGGAGAGCAGCATCTTGCCCATGGCAGTACCTGATTACCCAAACTACCCAGCTGCCCCCGCGCCTTCTCTCATGCCGATGAGCCTCCAAGGGAAGGTCTTAGCAGCTGAGAGCCCAGGCCGGGGGCTCTCTTCCCCCAGCCTCCCCTGCCCCATCTCCCCACGTCTCCTGGGAGGCTCCGGGGGCCTCGGCCGGTTGCTGGGGTCCACAATCTCTTCGAGTTCCTCAGTGTGGCTCAGCCCGGACACAGCGTAATGCTTTCTTGCAGAGTCCACGTGCCCTACTACAGCTCCGGGCTCCTCGTTGAGAAGAACGATGTCTACACCAAGATTTACTCCCGGGTGGGCTTTGCCCTCATGTGGAACCTCCAGGATTCCCTCATGGTAAATGCACTGTCTCTGGGCATGGCAGCTTCCCTGGCCACTGGTCCCCAGAATGCCCAGGGCAAGAGAAGGCGAGGGGAAGCCTGCCATGCCAGCAGGCCTTCCGGAGGGGAGTGCCTCAGTGTACCCCAGGAGAGCAGGAGGAGACCTGGAAGACCGAAGCTGAGGCCTGGAAGGGGCCAGCGGCCTCGGGGTGGGGGCTGGGCAGCAGTGGGAGTGTGTCCCTCCCACTCTCTCTGCCCCAGGGTCCCCGCCAGTCCCTTGTGCCCCAGCCTGTTCCAGCCAGCTGTGCTGCCGGGAGCTGACTGTCTCTCGGGTGTGGGCTGCCGGTCTCAATGCCTCTGTCTTCTTCCCCCACCTCCTGCTCTTTCTTCTCTGCTCAGCTCGAGCTGGCGGCTAAATTCCGCAACCATACCTGTGGTTTGTGCGGCGACTACAATGGCAGGCAGACGGACTCTGAGTTCAACGATGAGGGTAGGTGGCCCTCTCCCCCACCCAGGGGGCTCGGCAGGGGCGGGAGAGGGGGGAAGGGGGGCCCAGACACACGCGGCTCCGCGCTCTCCCCGCCAGGAGTTACCTTCAGCCCCATCGAATTTGGGAACATGCAGAAGATCAACCAGCCGGATTCTGTGTGTGCGGACCCGGAAGAGAAGGCCCCCGAGTCCTGCTCGGAACACGTAAGCGATTCCTGGCGCAGGAGGTCGGGGCTGGGCTGGCGTGGGTGACCAGCACTCCCGGAAGGCTGTGAGATGGCATGCGGAGGTGTGCTGGCGAATGTTTAACAACCAGCTCTCCAAAAAAAAAGATCTGGGGAGGAAGCACTTCTAGGTGTAGTCTCTGTGATTAACATGCTCTCGTCACTTCCTAAAATCTAGACCATCTGTAGAACACCAAATCAAGTCCTGATTTAGAGAATTTGCCAATTTCTGATGTGTAAATGCTCACACTGCAAATTTAACAACTGGCTCTTGTGAGTTAGTTGGAGATGGTTCCGACACACTTGAGCATGTACCCTTCCTTCTTTGCCTCAACCTCCCTCCTTTCCTCCCTCCCTTCTTTCCTTCCTTCTTCCCTCCCTTCTTTCCTTCCTTCCTCCTTCCCTTCTTCCCTCCCTCCCCTCCTTCTTTCTTTTCTTCCTTTCTTCCCTCCTTTCTCCCTCCCTCCATTCCTCCCTCTCCTTCCTCCCTCTGTTCCTCCCTCCATCCCTTCCTTCCTCCCTTCCTTCTTTTCTCCCTTCCTTCCTCCATTCCTTCCTCCATATCTCCCTTCACCCTTCCTTCCCTTCTTTCCTTCCTTCCTTCTTTCTTCCTTTCTTTTTCCCTTCCTTCCTTCCTAACTCCCTTTTTTCCTCCTTTTCTCCCTCCCCTTTCTCCCTTCTTTCTTTCATTCCTTTCTCCCTTCTTTCTTTCATTCCTTCCTCCCTTCCTTTCTCCCTCCCTTCCTTCCTTCCTTCCTTCCTTCCTTCCTTCCTTCCTTCCT